TATTTTTCATTTTTTACTATGAGATTAAATATCTTTTCATACTCTTAGAACTATTTCCATTTTTAGTTTCTCTAAATTGTTATCTTTATGTATCTTGCTCATTTGTCTATAGGGTTTTTTTTTTTTCTTTAGAAGTTATTTTTTTTCTTTTTTGAGAGATTTTTGCTATAGGGTGCATGTGCTTACCCGAGAGACAGGAAGAGAGCAATCACCCCCCCCCCCGGGGGGGATGGCCACACCCCAATCCCTTCTCCTCCGTTCTTCTCTCAGGATCTTGGATATGCATGCACACATACCTGGTGTGAGTTTTAAGCCACTGGATCCGGATGTTGAACCAAGGTTGACTATGTAGGAGGACAGAAATGTAACTATTATGCCATCTGCTGGTTCCTAGTTCTTTTATATAAAGATTTCTGACTCTTGGTATGATTTAAAAGTAAGTTCTGGGAACCAGCAACTAGCGTAATGGCTACGTCGCTGGACACCCATGTAGTCGACCGCGGTTCGCGTCCTGTACCAGGTGGCTTAAAACTCACACCGGGCGCGTGTGCGTGCGTGCCCAAGATCCCGAGAGGAGAATGGAGGAGAAGGGATTGAAGCGTGACCATCCCCCCTGGGGGGTGATTTCTCGCTTTCTGTCTCTATGTCTCTCTCTGTCTGTCTGGCGAGCGCACGCGCCCTATAGTGAAAACCTCTCCAAAAAAAAAAAAAAAAAGTAAGTTCTATTGTTTTGGTACTTGTAAGTGTGTGTGTGTGTGTGTGTGCGTGCGCATGCATAAATATATACTTATACTATATTATATATCTAATACCATATTATATATTGCATCATTTATAGTACATATGTATGTGCATATATGTATACACACATGTATATGGGCATATGAAAGCTTTCCCCTATTGAATCTGGACATTTCAGTCACTAGTAAGTACATCATTCCTAATTACAGCTTATAAAATAATTAATATTTTCTTCTAGTAAAGGTTTTATTTTTCACATTTAAACTCTGATTTATTTTAAGTTTATTATGGTAAAAGATGTAGAGAGTAGACCAGTTTCTGTTTTTCATTTAGTTTTTCATATATTCTTTTATTAAGAAGTTTATCTTTTCTCCACTAGTTCAAAATGCCTTAGTATTGTACATTACATTTTCAAATGCAAGTGAATCTATTTCTGTTTCTGTTCACAATGTTTTAACTGGAAAAGCTTTAGTTATTTTTGCTTTTTATTCTTATAATTGTGCCTTATAATTAACTTGTCTAACTCCACAATTTTTTTAAAAAAAATACCAAGTGTTTCTTTTTAATTTCCTGTTATATTTATGTAATAACTATGGATAATATATATAATGATGCTGGATATTCCTTCCAAGAACATGGTATGTCTCTCTGTTGAACTGTGTCCTTCAGGAGTGTTTTATAATTGTCCTCAGAGTTTTTGCACATTTTTCTTAATGTTTTTTAATGATAAATAGGTTTTTCTGTTAGAAAATTTTCCAAGTTTCTTTTCAATGAACTTTTGCCTATATTTTAAGGAAGAGGTCCAACTTCATTAGCTTGTATTCAGTAGTCAATTGTCCCAGCATCTCCAGTTGGAAAGATTACTTTTCTCCCCAGTAAATTATCCTAGGATCCTTGTCAAAACTCACTTAACTGTAAATATGAGACTATTTTTGAACTCTTAGTTCTAGTTTTTTGATCTGTGTCCATACTTATGCCAATACACATTTACAAAAGCTATTGAAAAAGTTTTGAATTCAGAAAGTTTGAGTCCTCTACTTTTGTTCTTGGTCAAAAAGGTTTTGGCTATTCTGGGTCCCTTGTATCTCTACAACCGTTGCTTTCAAATGTGCAATTTGAAACCAATAAGTGTTCTTTTATTTTTTTTGGAGAGCTTTTTTGTTTTGTTTTGTTTTGTTTTGCTGTAGGGCATATGCTCTTGCCAGAAAGACAAAGAGAGGCGGAGAGACAAAAAGCCAGAAATCACCCCCTAGGAGGGATGGCCATGCCACAATCCCTTCACCTCCATCCTTCTCTCAGGATCTTGGGCACGCTTGGGCACTCATGCACACATGCCCAGTGTAAATTTAGGCCACCGGGTCCGGGACTGCAACGGTGGTCGACTACATGGGAGTTCGGCAACATAGCTATTACAACAACTGCTGGTCCCCCTGAATGTTCAAATTTTAATATTGGCTTTATTAGGAATTTTAGTTGTTTCGGTTTTTATCAAGAAATCATTTATGAACTTTTCTCCCTCTCAATTGTTTTGTTATAATTCTATCTAATTTTCCTCTTTTTCATTTCCATCACTAAAAGCACACATGAATGTTAAGTAAGAGTCATGATGCATGAATCTTTATGGCATTCCTAACTTCAATGAGAATTATTTTAAAGGCTAACTTAATTATACTACTGACTATTAATTTTAGATAAGGTCCTTGATCCTAATTCATTAAGACCTTTGGATCAGAATTTAATATGTTTTTTTTTAAACTAATTTCCGTCTTAATTTCCTTATCTATGGATTATATCAGTGCCCAGCTGAACGAATGCTAGCTCTGAGGTTAGGCACACTGGATTTTTTTTTTTCTCCTAGCTTTCCTAACTAGCTCTAGGATTTCGCCCCTGTTAATATTACCAAGTCTTAATTCTTCATCCATTAAAAAACTCTCTGCGTAATTATACTTATGTGTTTTAAGGATTAAAGCAAATATGTACAAGGTACTTGACATACAGTGAACAAACAAAAGACACTAGCTTTTGTTTGATGATCTTGAAGGCCATTCTAGTTCTGACGTACTACAGAGTGTCCAGCATGTATCTGTCTACAACCCAGATGCAACTCAAATCCAGAAACTAGACCACCATGACCAGCAGATTGCATAATGGTTACATCAGTGGACTCCCACATGGCTGATTGGAGTTTAAGTCCTGGACCTGGCAGTTTGAACTCATGCCAGGTACCTGTATGTGTGTGTGCCCGAAGTCTCAAGAAGAGAATGGAGGAGAAGGGATTGCAGCATAGCCATCCATCCTGGGAGGTGATTTCTCATTTTTTGTCTCTCTGTCTCTCTGCTGAGCTCATGCACCTTATAGCAAAAATCTCTCTCAAAAAAACAAAAAAAAAGGACCAGAAGATGGCATAATGGTTATGTTGTTGGACTCCCACATAGTCAACCGCATTTCAAATACTGGATCCAAGAGCTTAAAACGCATGCTGGATGCATGTGTGGTGTGCCCCAAATCCTGAGAGAATGGAGGAGAAGGATCTGCAGCATGGCTAGTTCCACTGGAGGTTGATTTCTCGCTTTCTGTCTCTATGTCTCTCTCTGTCTGCCTGGCGAGCGCACACACCCTATAGCAAAAACCTCTCCAAAGGAAAAAAAAAAGGAACTGTACTGCCAAATAATTATAGCCTGACTTAAAGGGAGTAAAAAATTTGAACCTCACATTGTTAAAGGGCAGACTGAATTCTTCTAGTCAGATCCTTGATGGTTAACCTAAGGCATATAGCGATGCCAACAGCAGTAAGTATAAGAAAACTCAATAATAAAATTGAAGTACATTGTTGTGTGGTATTCACAAAACCCAATATAAAATGGTTGACTACTCCACAAAGACTCAGAGCTCTTAGAGTTGGAAGGAACATCAGTGGGCAACTAATTTAATCACATACATAAAGTATCATTATTCATTCTGTGACTTCACTGTGACATCATTTTTTGTTTTTGGCCAGAAGCATCGTACCCTTGCTAAAGTGAGACAGAAAGTCAGCAAGAGAGGAAGAGAAGAAAGCACCCCCCACACACACACAATGCATGGTCATGCCACAATCCCTTATCACCCATTTTCCCTCTTTTTAGGATTTTGGGGATGCATACATACACACGTATGTGTGTGGGGTTTTTTTTAAATTATTTTAAAGAGATTTTTGCTATAGGTCACGTGTGCTTGCCGGAGAGAGAGACAGAGACAGAAAGCGAGACATCACCCCCTGGGGAGGTGGCCATGATACAATCCTTTCTCCTCCATTCTCCTCTCAGCATTTTGGACACACATGCACATGTGCCTGGCATGTCTCAAGGTCCCAGGTCTGGGACTTGAACTGTGGTCAACTATGTGGGGGCCTAGCAATGTAACCCTTATACCATCTGCTGGCCCCAACACACCTCTTAAGCTTCCAGGTCCATAACTTCAACCATATGGTCAGCCAAGTAGCATAAAATCCCCGTAATCACCAGATCATGGGGTAGACTCATGACATCATTTATCTGCCTTTTCCTCTACCCTTTCACCCTATGCATCTTTTAAGGTCCTTAATGATCATTTACTATGGATGTAGTGACCTCTGTATGTGTCATGTCTTTCCCTGAGACATCCTTGTATCAATCACTATGTAACATTCAGACCAGTATGTGATTCCTGGTAAGTAGCGAGAAGTGAATTAATAGGTCTATAGTTGAATGAATGAACCAATAAGTTAAGGAACAAGCTAATCAAGTATCTTCCTGCTTTTCCCACGCCATTTCCATTCACTAGGTGTAAACATAAAGAAAACAAATCCTTAGTGTGCAATCATGTAACTAGATATCCCAGAAATCCCTGCTTCCCAGCAAGCCCTCGCTCTAATATAACTGGGATGATTCCTATGCACCCCACTATTCATTAATGAGTTCAGCTGGGTCAATCTGATTAGACATATATACAAAGGCTGATATATACATGGAAATATCTAGTCTGTGGGTGTGTGTGAATGACATCACTTTTCTAGAATTTGTAGCTTATGACTCCATCTTAATGCATGTACTTCGCGGAAGAAGCCAACGATAGAAGGGGCTTGTTTGGTGTCACAGGATAAAAGGATTATGGGACCCCTGTTGCTCATTTTGTTTTTTTCCCCCTCAGACACCTGAGTACCCTCAAATCCCACCACAATTTATCCTGAGGTATGTTCATCAGCGCATTTACAGAGGTACTAATTAATTCTCTGTACTTACACAGTATTTCCTGCCCCTGTTTCTCTCTGCTGTCCCAGTCTTGGAAACAAGATGTTACACCTCTGGAGACTGCCCTGGTAAAAAAACCTATTAATAAATAATTAAGTTTGGATACTCCTGCAGTGGTGAGTCATGACTGGAGATCACATGCAAGCCATCTCCATGGCAACACACCAACACCACCCGGACTGTTCTGCTTCTCTCTCGCTCGCTCTCTCACTCTCTCTCTCTTATTTTCTATGTGTATCTTTTTTTTTTTTTTTAATGTGTGAAGGGAGTCAGGGCAAAGGCATAGATTAAAAAGAGATGTAGGTTTTTTATTTTTCTCATTTTTCATTTTCTTTAAAAAAAAATCTGCCACTGAATATTGAATTCTAGAAAGGTTATGCTGACGGCAAAGGGAAGGTGATGTGCAGCTAAATACGCATGCTTTCCCATGTCTGTTTGCCATCCCCGGCTCATCTGCTCTCTTCTGGGTTCACCTTTGGCTCTACCTGCGCCCTATCCTACCGGGTGGACTATCCCTGCCAGGAAGCCGTTACCACTTTGCTTGCCCTGCCCCTGTCTCCCACAGAGCAGTTCTTCACTCACTTCTCTGCTCCCCTCCCACCCCCCGGACCCTGCTTCCCAGTGTAAACACTAACAGAATGTAGAATGGAAAGAACAGGAGACTTGGGGGAGAAGAATCTGCATTCCATCTCAGACTCTTCTTGCTAGCTCTGCGACAGAGGAAAATGACTGGACTTCTCTCCTTTTGTTTTCTTGCCCAACAACCAATCCGTATAGGGCTGCAGGGAGGCTTAAAGGAGGCCGATTCAGTAAGGGTTAACAGCATAGACTTTCACATCAGAGTATCTAGACTTGAGTCTTGTCTTTTATAAGCTTTCTCTTTCAGGGCAAGTTATCTAATGTCTCCAAGTCTCAATTTCTTATCTGAAAATCTTATCCAATAATTATAGATAAATTTGAATCAGCCCCATAGCCTAGAGGTTAAGGGAGGCAGGTCCCACATTATCAACCATAGTTCAAAATTCCAGTCCTGGCAGCTTAAAAAAACCATGTCCAGCACATGTGTGTAAATACCCCCAACCCCAACCAGATGAAGAAATGGAAAAGAAGGGATTGGGGCATGATCATGCCCCATTGTGGAGTTTTCTCTCTCACTCTTTTCTCTCTCTCTCTCTGGTGAATAAAAAAATGCCCTCTGGCCATAAAAACAAGTATAGCAAATGTTATTTGAAACATTAATTTATAAGGTGCATATAAAAGGCTTTGGCAAAGCATGAGCACTTCATGTATGCATTCCAATTATTATTATTTTTCTTTTCTTGGAGAGGTTTTTGCTATAGGATGCATGCGCTCGCCAGAAAGAGAGAGACAGAGAGACAGAAAGTGAGAAATCACCCCCCAGAGAGATGGCCACACCACAATCCCTCCTCCTCCATTCTCCTCTCGGGATCTTGGGCATGCACACACACGCGCCCGGCGTGAGTTTAAGCCACCGGGTCCAGGACTTGAACCACGGTCGACTACATGTAAGTTCAGTGACACAAGTCATTGCACTAACTGCATTCCAATTATTAAAGGATATAGCATATAGTGAGTGTGTGATAAATAAAGCTACTATTATGAGTTTGGAATTTTTTTATGGTTTTTGCCACAGGGATTATGGACCAGTTAGAGAGAGGCACAGAGAGACAGAGAGAGGGAAAGTGAAAAATCACCCCCAAAGTGGGATGGCCACACTAAAAACTTTTCTCCATTCTGCACTCAGAATTTTGGTCATGCACACATATGTACCAGGCATGATTTTCAAGCCACCAGGTCCAGGACTCAAACCATGACTCATCATTTGGGAGTCCAGCACCTCAACCACCACGCCACCTACTGGCCCCCACAGTTGTAAGTTATTCTGAAAGACAACAATACAATATGATGGCATAACAGTGCTTCCTGAGCAGTGGAGATCAGCAGCATGGAAATAGCCTAGCGAGAGTCACTGAACCCTTCCTTGGGCCCTTGCCTAGATTGGCACCTCATTCTGCTTCAGACAGAACCTTGGGCTTCTCAGACTGAACCTGAGCCCAGGCTGCTCCTTTGCAGAATCATGGCCCAGGCCAACATGATCCCAGCACTAAGGTTACCTATCCTGAAAACTCTCTCTCCTCCTCCCTCCTACGCTCTGTTCTGTGTCCCAGGATGCTGAAGTCTGCAGACTGCATCTCTTAAGGTTGCTTTCAGTACCTTCCAGGCTTATTAGGGCAATAAGTGGCATCCAGCGACAGTTTCACAACTGTATAATGGGGGAAGGAAGACCACGTCTAGAGGAGAGGGGGTCACGGGGCTTTATCTTAATATTCTCAAGTTCAATAATAAATTTGAAAACACAACAACTCGTAAATGCTGAGCAACTGAGGACTCAGATCTTTCAATCCAAAGGTCATGGGCCACTCTCCTGAGGGAAGGCTCTTAAGCTGATGGTGATGGTAAAGGAGAGGAGATGGAAGAAAGCCGGGCTTAACTTAGGTCTTGTGACTGGCCATAGAAGTGATAGTTAGACCTTACTTGATTTTTCACCTTTTCCTCCTACCTTAAAGAATCCCAGAAGTGGCTACCAAGATGATTTAAATTCCAGGTAGGTGTGTGCCTGCCTGACTTCAAGTCATGGCCACATGGTAGCAATGAGCCAGAGCATAGCCATAATTCAGAGCTCCCAGGACTCCCATTTGCTTTTTAGTTTTTGCTATAGGACATGTGACAGGGGCAGGGAAGGTGAGAAATCACCCCTCCCCCAGGAGGATGGCCATGCCACAGTCCCTTCTCCTCCATTCTCTTCTTGGAAATTTGGGTATATGCACACACACTCCCAGCATGATTTCCAAGCAGCCAGGTCTGGGACTTGATCCTCGCAGCCAGCCACATGAGATTCAGCCACCTTAAACTCCATGCCACCTGCTGGCCCCTCATTGGCTATTATTATCTGTTGATAAGTATTAGCATCTTAGCTTTTTTAAGCTTTCAGTGTCACCAATCACAACCATATTAAGAAAAATCAAGCATATTCAAAATGGTTCATCACTGCTGAGAATTATTCAAATGTTCTTTGCCCAAATTGACTTGACATCTGTGGTCACAACTATAGATACTGGTTAGTGGTGCCTTAGGAAGCTGACTTGAAGATAATTCTGGAGTAAGAAATAATTACTTATGGATTTGGAAAAGTCTCTACCCAGAAATATTGGAAATAAGGTCTCAAGATTTGCTGGAATCATTGGCCCCCTAAGCAATGAGCACTTGAGTGTAGAACCCCTTTGCTCCAGCCCAGAATCAGCACAGCAGGCTCCTCCCAGGCAAATTCTCTTCTGGCTGTCCTCTCTAATCCCCTCTATGAGACAGGAGTTGTGTAGCCATGGTTCATTTTCTGTTTTGCCCTCTAGACATCACTTCCATCTTATTTGTGTCATATCACTGTCTGCAAATCCTACAGGAGAGGACAACTCAAAAAAAATAATAAATAAAATACTGCCCCAAATCACTGCCATTTTTTTTTCCTTCCAATCTCCAAGAATATTTCATTTCCTGCTTTGGGAAGCAACCTCTTGTCTCTTCCTGCCATCTGGACTTTTTAGTTTATCACTTCAGTCTTAGAAACTTATCGAGTTCCTACCTTCTCTACTGGGCAGGTGGAACCCAAGCCATCCATTTCTGTATTTCATGTGTCTGCAGTCCTGTCAAATGCTTTCTCCTGCCTTGGCATTATCTGTGATTTCTGGGTTCCTCCGTTGGCTTTCCATCCTTGTTAGTCACTGTGTATTTTATCAACAGCTTGACTGATGGGCTTCACTTAAAGTAATGTAGTTTCACCCCAAATGAATGCTTAGAAGAATCAGATGAGATTTTAGTTCTCTGAAATGCAATGAATGTAAATCAGATTAATTGTCTTGCTGACTCTGGGAACATCCGGGGACCTCATTTCCTGCCGAAGTCTGAGTTTGCATGGTAACTTTTGGCAGGTGATACTGGCTGGATCCAGTTATTCATCAGCAATAATTGCACTGAAAATATATCAGGATGAAAATTTTGACAAGCAGATTAGGCTCTGCTTTCCAGTAAAGTGAATTCCAGTAACCCAGCACCTTCATCCCTTTTACTCTCTCTCCCACCTCAGAAAGGTTTCTACGTATAAGCCTGGGTGCGCAGAAGGTTCTTTTTCTTTTGCCATTACTCCAGGAAACACACCTCTCTCTCTCCTGGAGAAGATGCACTTTGAGGAAAGCAGTTTCATGCTATGCCACCATTTATTTATATTTTTTTACTTGTCCTAGGATTTATTGATTCCACTTCAAATAGAAGTAAACATTATGATGTTTTTGTGATTACATGCAGAGGATGGTGAAGGAGGGGGCAATGGCTGTGTAAATGCGTGTATATTGATGTTTGTAGAAGTTATACTCGTCCAAAGTTAGAAACACCCATATGTTTGTCAATCATGTAAACAGATGAACAAATTATGGTTATACCCATAAACTGAAATAGAATGCAATGATTGAAAAGAATGAATGATGACTATAATAATGTAGAAAAGTCCTAAAGTAATTATGCTAAGTAAAAGAAATCAGACCAAAAAAAGTATATTGTCTGGGATGGGAGAGACAGGGTACAGATAGGCAGGAAGGAGAGATGACAAAAAGGCAAAGCGTATTTTGAGGCCTAGTGATAGCTGTTCATTATCTCAATCATAGTGATCGTTCAGAGCTATGAATGTATGTCAAAACTCATCAAGTTGTACACTTAAAGACATTCAGTCTACTGAATATCATCTATGCCTCAATAAAAAAATGAACCTAGTAATAAATAAGAATCTGGAGTTCAAATTTTGTCTCCAACACTCCTGAATCATATGACAGTGACGACTTACCCAACCTGTTTATGTCTCTACAATCTAATGGATAGGGTATTTCCTAGTGTTACATTTGTCGATCATGTGAAGCACTTGAAACAATGTCTAGCACATAGTAAGTACTCATTACTGTTCGTTATTTTCATTTTTATTATGTGTCTGGCACAGTG